CTGTGCCGTTGAGTCGGTGGCTCCTGCGTTGTGGTGACGCTCGTGGTTTCAGGAAGTTCAGCAGCGGTGTGTGTTGAGTCATTTTGCATCAGCCTTTTAAGGTTCCAATCAGGTGCCATGTTCCTCATGTTTGTGCAGCAGGAAACAAACACAACTCCCAGAACCAAAATGAAGAAGCAGCACTGACTTCGTGACAAAGTAATAGAGCTCTTGTCTTCTGAGGGTTGATCAGTACTCCTCATTTTCTGTCTGGAAAAGAAAAAAAAATAATTAAAAGGTCATTTTAATGTTTAACCTTCTGATTTGCCAACTTTTCAGCTCATTGTCTAGGAATTAACAAAGTGATTAAAGAAATATTTTATTCTCTTAATGATTTCCAAAACCAAACCATGCAGAGAAAACGGGAAAGCTCTTAATTTTTTATAAATTATAATAAAATGAAATAGAGCAATCCTTTGTTGTCCCACAGGGAAATTCACCAGCAGGAAGTTCAAGGTAAACATCAATGTTCCTGAAAACATATCAGACATGTTACTGAAATATTGTCCAATTTTGTCCAATTAAATACTGAATATTTTGTCTGACATGTTGATTGAACTGCTTTTCCTCTAATTTTGCAAACATATTACCATTAAAATTTTTTTTTTTTAAAAACGCAGCGCTTTGCAGTGTGACAAATACTTACTTTGACAAGATAATAACTCGTAATTACAAGATCAGATATAATTCTATCTCATAATTATGTGATAACTGGGAAGGCATCATTTAGTGGCGTTCTGTTTCACTGAATGCCAGGCTCTTCTTCATAGAGAACCAGCGTTTTTATTAGTGATTAATTTTCATTTTCTGAGAGTATAATGAACATTAATCATCAATGCACTTTAATAAACCAACTGTTTGTGGTACAGAATTATGTAATACTGTCAAAATCTGACTTCAGAAGGAAACAAAACAGCATTTTATAATAATCAACAAAAATATTTTTTTAAAATCCTTGAATGTATTTTGAAATAGTTTCTTCCACATTATGTTATAACATTATTACATTTTGAACTGATTATTAAAAATGCAGGTTATTCTTTTTTAAAAAGTGGTGATATGGCACAAAAAGCTGGTTTGTGTTCAACTTCACTATTTTTATGATAATGATCATAATCTATATACATTTTAAATTTTTATAAATAGATCCCAAACATTTAGTCATCTGCTATATTCAGTGTTAACCCACATGTTGTTCAAGGCAAAAGGCTCACAACACGTCCATCTGGAAGATTAAAAAATGTATAACATTGATTACAAATATCCTCCAGAAATGCTGATTTTGAGCTGCAGGAATAAATCCAGCGCATCGTGATTTCATGGCACAGAGATCGTGATTTCATGCAATAAAACCAAAACAAAAAGCACCATGATTAGACTTTAACACATTATTATAAACATTATAAACAAAACTGAATTTCAACAACCACCACAGAGCAGAAAACCACCTCATACAGCCAAAGGGGTATTAAAGACGAAACAAATAGAAAGAATCCTCCTTTACATGCTCGTATCAAACACATTCATTTTTTCCAAAATAATTGATCAAAAAACTACATTTCTCTGTGGTTTCCAGCAAATAGCTTCACAGCCTGACGTCTGACTCATTCAGAAAAACGAAAGTTCTTCCTTGTTTGTCTTGATGTTGGTTGATGAGCCAAAATGCCTCACCAAGCACCTGACGCAGTGAGTTTCACTATTATAACCCTGTTTGTTGGAGATTTGATGTACCTCAGTCAGACATTTTTTCTCTGGCGAATGCAATGTGCTTCCATACTTTGTCAACAAGGCATTAAAGGTTTGGTGCAACCTGATTGGCTTTGAAGTGGAGGTCATTTTGCAATATTTGGATTTCCACCCATCCAGCATCCAAGCTGAACGTTGCATTAGCTGTTCAGTAATGCATGATGTGTCCATGATCATGAAAGGACTGGAAATGAATGAAACGCATGGCATGGCTGAAGCTGACCAAGGTCACAAAACCTGTTCTCAAAGACTTGGCCCAGTCTGACTTTCCTGCACCTTTGTCAAATATGTCAGATGCAGAAGTATTGTCTTTCAGCACCATCTGCACAAAGGGGAAATGCAACACGTCATGTTGGTGACAGTCTTACCTTTACCTGGCAGCTCACACTTCAAATGGCTAACGTCCATTAAAAACCTGTTGTTCCCCAGCAGTGAGGAGGTGCATTTGCATTTGGGCTGCATGTGAAACCCGTCTTTGTTCATCTCAGGTCCAGCAGGTTGATTTCATGACAGATAAACTGAGGTTATCTGTATTTAACCTAACAAGAGAGAAAATCAAGATGGTGGTTAACCTCAGTCCACCTTAACTAATCATATAACCCTAACTGATGCATATAACATTCAAAGACTATCACACAGTTGATAACTGAAACATTACTTTGTGTCAAAAATTAAAACATACCTCATAAGAGACAAATCGAGATGGTGGTTCACATCAGTCCAGCATCTTCATTAAATGCTGTACATTAAATACAATTCAAAAAATAACCATAAACAGACGACAGATCAATGGTTCCCAATGAACAGTTGACAGCAGTTAACAGTTATAAAATTAAACACCTAAAATGCACAACATTAATATTGTTAACAGTGAAAAACACACAAAACATGGCAAATTTCCACATGAAACTTTGTATACATTAAGATTTGTCAGACAAAATATAATATTTGTAAAGAAAACAGAGCTGATTCTGATACATATCATAGTTACTGATGGTAAAAGAAAAAGGGGGCGGAGCTATCGTTACCGGTTGCTATGGTAACCACCAACTGCCAAAAGGCAGCGTAACAGAAGGCCGATAAAAATCAGGGGACTAAACACAATGAATTCAAAGAATAAGTCATTTTAACAAACTTCACATCTGTAATGTTAAAATAAAACCCTGTTACACAGACATAGTATAAAATTACCAGTGTAAATTTTGATTTACCAGTAAAATCCAGTGTGGTCACAACATTTAAGTTTATTATTATGTGAAATTGATCCCAAAGGGGTCCTAAATTAAATTTTAAGGTTTCAAAAAAGATTAAGAAAATATCCTGTAACAGAGTATACAATCCATTAATCAGAACGGTGATTTAAAATGGTGGGCAGAAATCATTCAACAGAGTCTCATCATTGGAGGGCAGGACCTTTCAAACTGTTTTTAAAGTTTTTTAATTCATTTTAAGTTCACTTCACTCTCAAATTAAATAATATTCTGAATCTTTTTGCCCAAGAAACAGTCTTTGGTTTTGTTTGATTCTGTCTTTCTAACCTACCAGGATTTTTTAAGTCTCTTCACAGACGCACATGGTCCATATTTCCCTGAGTTGAGGAGACGGTTATCTTGGAGCAAAAGCAGGTCACGTCTGACACCATCCTGCATTTTCCTAGAAAGAAAGAAATGAAATCAAATCTTTGAATTAGCATTTCATTGTTGGTATTTTTGAAAAAGTCAAATGAATTAAAAATTGTTATGTTTGGTTTTGACTGCTAAGAATCTCATGTTGTGAATATTTATTTCTATTTTAGAATCATGCAGAGAAACAGAAGCGTTTAGAAAACCTGCCGACATGATTCACCTGAGGCCAGGTAACCGCAGCTCTGTGTTTGTTCAGGTCTGCAGACATCCTGCAGGTTTGACCCGACTTCTGTTCTAAATATTCAGGGACTCCTCCTTCCACCGGACCTGCCGGTCCTGACGCTCACCATATCAGTTGCTTCACTGGGAGCTTCTGGTTTTTACTCTCCAAGTGTCTCTGCTGCAACTTCTGTAAAACCGTTCAGTTTGCATCACTTCCTGTGGTCTTTGGGTGAAATTTCAAAATTAAAAGTAGAAACAGAGAATTAAAGGTTTATAATTTTACTGTTTTTTAGCCATAATAACATATTTATACCAAAAATATACAAATTTTGCTTTAAAATCCAGATTTCAAACTGTTTAATCCTGTTTGAAGTTTCCAGGTATGTAAAATGGAAGCTGCTTCTCATGTTTAGTCATCTAAAACCATAAAAACTATAAATGAAAGACAACTGAGCTGATTTGCTTCTGAATCTTTTTATTCAAACCTAAAGTCATTTTCAGACTCAGAAAAAACGCAGACTGATCCACCTGTGAAGATAATCTATATTTATTCAAATAGAGTTTTTCACTGTTCTTTAACTTCCACCGTTGTCAATAATTAAATGCAAAGACTAAAAGATCTCAAACAAACCCAAATGTGATGTTTATCAGTTAGAAAAAAGCAGCAGAAAATTACATTTTGATACAAACATGAAGGTTACCTGAGCTTCCTCTAAAACGAAAACCTGCAAGAAAATCAACTCTTTTCTAACATCATGTTTTAATTTTACCAACAAAAACAAAATAAAACAAATTAAAGAAAACATTAAACTATTAAAACACCTCAGTTTATAAAATAAAACTTTATACTCATCATTGCAGTAGGTGCACTATTTTTTGTGCCTAAATTCACATTAATAAACAAGCAGCAGGAATCAAACCTCAAGAGCTGAAAAGCAGCTGAGTTTCACGAAAAATACCCACAATATTTAAAACTATATTCCAAAACCTATATATTTTGGCAAATTACATCACAAGAATATTTTTTGTAATTAAAATTATTCTAAAATTAACTTCCTCCAAGTCTGCCAGGTGTTTTAAAACATGGCTGCTTTTCTCCGGTTAGAGGTATTTATTAAAGTTCACCAGCATGTTCGTCACTGCCTGCCAAACATAAATTACAACCATTATCCTGTAAATTAATCTGTACAGGAATAACAAAAATTGAAACGAAAAACGTTTTGTCGACTTTTAAGTGATGATACCCAAACAGGTTAAAAGAAGAGTCTGGAAAAACGTGGCAGAACCAGAACCAAACCAGGTGAGGCAGCATTTCTCTGGAAAAACCCTTCCTGAAACCTGAGCACGAGCAGAAACTGTTGGGCCCTTTAGATCAGAACTGAAAACATTTCTTAGCAGCAGTTTGAAACACTTGTTTCTTTAATGCAAATCTTTTTTTGCTCTATTTTCTTTCTGTCAACACTTTGATGTAATGTAAAGCACACTGGATTGTTAACATAAACTTAAAACTTATTTGAGCAAAGCAGACAGAATTAACTCCAGTGTGTGGATAAGAACGAGGTACATCTACTTCGTTTTTAAAAATTTTACTTCTGCAAGTATTTAACTGCAATCTACTTTTTATTTTCACTTAATTATTATTACAAAATGTCGCTGCTCTTAACTGAAGATCTAAAATGTTTAATCTAAAATTGTTCCATACACAGAAATAGACTTAGAGTTTATGTCAAAGTGAGACCTCCTGTCTATACAAAAGCTTTGTTGTTCTGCCATTTTATATCTGCTGATCCTGACTTGCCCTTTGAACCTACAGTTCAAGGGCGTAGGTTCGGTCTAAGTTTTGGTGGGGACCTTGGTGGGGACCTTGACCCCCCGGCAGCACAGTGAAATGTGAATGTGAGAAGGGGGGGGGAAACCACATTGGCTTAATAACCCCTCCCCCCAACCATAACCATATCATACATCTTGTGTATACAACCAGATACAGTCATACAGAGATAACTTCACAGTATATTTCATATCTGAGAACTAACACCTCACCTGGAGCCCTGAAGCTCCAGCCACCTCTCCATCGTTCTGCTCTGCCCCTTGCTCTGCTGTCTGAGCATCCTATGTGAAAAAATATTACATAATTAACAGACCTATTCTACCTCACATTCAGTGCTGACCTTACTAAACACCGGACTTTACAACAAATGTGATAGATATCTAACTTATGGGTCCACTCACTGTACTTACAGCCGACGTAGCGAAATAACTTCTAATGTCTGTCCTTTTCTTTTTTGGTGGCGACATGGCGACTCAGAAGGAGACGCGTGTGCCCAGCTAGCCGCCGCCTTTTTGCAGCTAATCAAAGAACGTCAGACGATTCAACTGACTCCCCCTCCCCCCACCCCCCGACAGGGTCTCGGAGGCTCATAATAAATGTCAAACTAAGAAGCTTCCGTTCCGCACCGCCTGTTGCTGCTAATCAAAGATCGTAGTTCCACGTTCTTTGAGCCAATATGGCAAAAATTGGTCGGGACTTTTTCATATCCCGTGAATATTGGTCGGGACATGTCCCTACCGTCCCTACCCAAACCTACGCCCATGCATGAAACCCAACAATAAAGGCTTCAA